GGGGAAAGATCTACTCAGAATGCAAGACAGAAAAATGGATTTTAATGTAGCAGGTACACAAAATTCATTGACTGAGGTTCAGAATTCATACTGCAAAACACCTTAAGAAACTTAACATTTGCCACAGTTTCTCAATAGGCTAGGAGAACCAAACCATTCTCTTGGAGTTGATTCTGACTTACAGGGACCTAAACAGAGGGGGGCCACCCCATGTGGTCTCCAGGTCTGCAAATACAGATGCGCCTGCCACATCTTCTTCCCACGAAATCTTCTTCCTGTGGATTAGCAGGTGAGTACTTAACCACTGTACCACCAAGGCTGGATGCTATTAAGACATTTCTCTCGTTTTCAAGGACATACATATCTGGATGAAGTGAATTTTCCTTACAGATAATCAACCAAAACCAGAGATGAGAGCAAAAGCAGACACAGAAAGCAACTGCCTTCTATTAAGCTATGCAGTAAAGAAACATACAAAAATATAAATTAACACTACTCTTTTCATGAAAAGTCTTATGATTAGAGTTTTTAGAAACTGTTATTCACATTAACATCTATTGGTTTTTTATTCCCACTTTAGATGAGTAATTAAATAAATATGTAAAAAGATATCCCAGGTTTAATTTCTAATATGGTAAATACCATTTTATATATAACCCCAGTAAACAGAAGCTCTGAGGTCCTCAACAATTTTAAGAGTATAGAGGGGATCTTGAGAACAAAAAGTTGGGGAGCCACTTCTTCGTACCTTATATACGCTAGGTACTTGATCAATGTTGTGTCAACATACTAAAGCCAGATCCTTTTCATACTTGTTTGCCTTTTCTTTTATCTTTTAAAACATTTCCAACTGACTTCTATTTTAATTTGTGTCACTTGTGAGCTATAAAGCTCTAACCACGGTCCATATGTGTTGGAGTAATTGTATTGAGCTGGGGACCCAATGACATCAATCTGTCAGCCCTAAAAGAACTCAGATGTCTTCCTTGGACCCCCATAAATGTTTCCGACAATTGCTTCACCTAAAAATCTTTTTTTCTTAAAGACTGCATGAAGACATACTCTCTAGAACTAGTTGTAAAGCTGTTGAATGCAATGTCTTTTATTGCTTGGCATTGTGGCAGTTATGAGCCACCACACTGGGGTATCAATTGGCAAACGAGGCAAATGGTACTCTGCCCTCTTAACATTTTTCGTCTTGTGTGGAAGAGGTAAGTCAATAACTACACAAGACATGAGAGAAAGAATGTTCCCTAAATTATTGACACCTTCTCATGCTCATGCCTTTGAAATACGGTTGCATCCATGGAAGGCGTCTGACTAGACTGATGGCCAATGGTGATGCTCATCTGTGACTGCCAAACCACGAGGCAAAATGCGCATGGGGAGCAGTTATGCAAGGAACATAGTAAGTGGCAGTACCTGAAGCTACCAATAAATCTTAACAAAAAGGAGAGGGGTCTGAAAGCAGAGAATGCTACCACAAAAACTTAAGTGAAATCATCACTGTCACGATTAAACTGAAGTTTGATCAGGCCTCTAGACTGAATTTCCAGTTGGTTGGAAATACAGAGAACAGAAGAGCATGGGAAATAACACTGGGGGGTGCAATTGGAAAAATTCAGGATGTTGGTGGCTGTACAGGATAAACAGCTCTGCTTCTTCAAAAACAATGACAAAACTTTTAAAAAAGAAAAAGGACCTAGGTCCATTCCCCAAAGGGCATACA